TTTCTATATATTTTCACACATATATATATTATATATATATATATAGTCATCCAACGACAGACTGTTTCACAGTTCATCAGTGTGGCTAGACATGTGATTGTGACAAGCCGAGATCAAAACCTGATCAATTTGATGTCAGTCAGAAACTATATATTATTTTTTTTTTTTATATTTATGGTGGGGGAAATGCTCAATACTTGAGATTAAGAATTTGGTGTTTGTTGATATCCATCTATCTATCTATCTCTGTGTGTGTCTCTCTCTCTCTATATATATATATATATAGAGAGAGAGAGACAGAGACAGAGAGACAGGGAGAGAGAGAGAGTGAGATATCTACAGTATGTATATAGATATTTTTTTATCTTTCTCTCTCTCTCCCCATATAATGTGGGATATCTAATAACAGAAGTGTTGGGAAGAAAAAGTAAAAGAATCTAAATGAAATCACCTACATTATATATAAAAAGAAATAAATTTAAAATTCCCATCATCCCTCATTCCTGCACATCTGTAGTCACACCAACATAACAAATTTAGTCTGATGAAGTCCTAAAGGATGAAATGTGTCATACGAAAACTTTTTTACACTTTGTCATACATTTTTCCACCAATATTGTTCTGCATATATAAAAAAATTATATATTGTTATCTCATATATATATATATATATATATATACATATATATATATATATATATATAGATAGATAGATAGATAATGCATAATAAACATATATAACTATAAGCATATATATTTTTAATAATAATTTTTTATGATTTTAATTATGTTAACACTGAAAACATTGGTTCTTGTTTGATCACTGAAGTTAAGCAATGTAAAGTCTGGTCAGTAATTAGATGCTGGACCACTATGGGTCACTGGGTACTATAACCTACAAAGAGTTGATAAGCCATAAAAAAAAACAGATTAAACAATCAATCTGCTAATTATGTTAATATATGTGCATTTATATTTCAATATACAAGTGGTTATATATATGAATATGTATGTGTGGATGTATGTTTCAATATATACAAGTGGATATGCAGATGATTTTTCTGTGTGAAATTGCCTGATAAATGGAATGCCAAGAGGCTAGAACAATCGGAAATGGACTTAATGAGACTTTTTTGTTTTGATATTTGTTACTCTTTCTTTTATTGTTGTTTCACAATATTTCGGCCAGTCCATTCTCCAACCATTTTTAGATGAAGGAAACTTGTGTTGAGTCCCATTGATTTTATTCTGCTTACAATTTGTTTACATGTGAGGAAGTGCACATTCTGATGAAAAGAAATGAGTAACAACATTTTGGAAAAAAAAAAAAAAAAAAAAAAAAACAAAAAACTCCCATTCTAGATTTTTCAATTGGCAACAACTAAATCTCTTTTACACGCACACCTTTTTAATTTTATTATCCATTCTCTTGTACTTTCTTTCTTACATCTGCCAAGCAAAGAAAGAAAATAGAGAAACAATAGGTTGGACGAGAACTAGAAAACCTCACCTGTTTAATGGAGCATACAATACTTATACTGTTCTGCTATGAAAAAGATTTTATTACCAGTAAATAATCGCTATTCTGATATGATATAATGTGTGCTTTTATGATCAGTGGGTAGGGTATAAATGCTATATGTAGTTTTTGCATCATAAAACTGTTTAACGATGAATAGAGAATGCTCCAAATAAATACATTACATATTGCTTGATAAGTTTTTATATATCATGCTGAAGTCAACCAGTAGCAAATAAATGCACACATACAAACACAAAACAATTGGCCCCTGTTAAGGGTGACTATGAGCGTAACAGCTTTTTATGCTGCATCTGCCTGGGTATTTCTGGAAGAGTGGCTTGTTAAAATGCTCACTCTCTTTTTTTTTCTCCTCTGTCAACCACTGGGGCATGACATTGATGGGACTCTTATTACAGGTAGCTGGAAGTACTGAACTGCTATGTAATATGAGTCCTCCTATATGAATAGTGAATATTGGACAATCTCCTCACAAATGAAGAGCAGATTTAAAGTAACAGAGATGTGGTTCTACAGAAGGATGCTGAGAATACCATGGATGACGCATGTCAGCAATGAAGAAGTTTTAAGAAAAATGAAAACAAAAAAGACACTTACACTTAGAAAAGATAGTCGAAATTTCTGTGACACATTCTCAATTTTTGTGACGGATTCAGGGGGATGTAACCTCATAACTTTCATTCCTATCCCAGGGCATCATCTCAGTAATTTGCTTTATTCTATTTTTCTTTAATTTCTTTCATATTCCTAGAGTGACTTTTTAATTTGCTTTAACATGACAATCGCATATATCATAATTAAGACTTGCTTCTAAATGATATCGGCACTTGCATATCTCTTGAGTATTCCTTCCTACATATATGTGTGTCATATGAGTGTGTAGTTTGTGTTTGACTCTGTGAACATATATTTGAGGAATTCATAAATTTTAAACACTTAATAAATATCTCAGTGTAGGGACCAGACACAATAAATTTAACGTAGGAGATAAGGAAATTAAACACAGAAGAGGTAACACTTTCTTTTTATATGCTGTCCTTTCAGGATGTAGGCGATCATGGTTCTCCACCTCTGTCCCTTACAGCTCTCTACATGTTCCTTCCCTCTGCTTCCTCCCCCAGACCACGTTCTGTCATCCACTTGCTTAAGCACGCCAGGTATGTCATGCATTATTTTCCCTTGTCTCTCTTTCCCTCTATTTGACCTGTGAGTATCAGATTCTCCAGGCCCCCTCTCCTTCCTCATTATGTGTCCCAGAAACTTCAGCTGCCTCTTCCTGATGTTAAGTACAAACCTCCTCCTTGTTTGTAACCTCTCTCAGACCTCATTGTTGCTCACACGCTCAGTCCATGATATCCTTAGCATCCTTCTGTAGAACCAGCTCAGCTCAGTATTCTTTTCTTTGTTACCAAAGAAATCCTCCTGTGTCACAATACTCTGTCCATTTTTTGGAATGCGTCCTTGACCATCCCAATACATCTATGGATCTCAGTGTCGTACTTACCTTCCTCTGTCAAAATGCTTCCCAGATATTTAAACTTCTGTGTCTGCTTGATTCAAGTGTTCCTGACCTGCAAATCACATTTTGGGATCATCCTCTTACTGATGACCATGCATTCTGTCTTCTTGTAAGTTTATGCTTAGTCCCTTCTTCTCACTCTCTGTTGCAACCTTCTGTAGGAGGTTTTGTAATTTCTTTTCCATATCTGTTATCAGTACTGTGTCATCTGCATATCTTATGTTGTTAAGATTGTGGCTGCCAATGCTAAATCCTGGTAGAGCTTCCAATTCTCTCAGAATTGTCTCACTGTATAGTTTGAACAGGTCAGGTGAGAAGACGCATCCTTGCCTTACGCCCCTTTCTATTTTTGTATATTCACTGAACTCTAGGAAACAGCATGCATGTTCCCTAGGGACATGCATGCTGTTTGCTGCTAGTATAGGTTCTTGATTATTCTGATATCTTTCCTGAATATATCAAGGTTGCTGAGCAGTTCCATATGGTTTTGTTCAATACCATACAATGCAACAAAACAAAAATATTGACCTGAAAACTCGAGTCATGTTTTTAAATTATCTCATAAGATCTGGACTCTCATATGGATGTCATACATAGCATCCAACTCATTCAGAAATGTCTAAACTGTCAACTCTCTACAACCATATTCTCAGATTAATGATTCAAATTGCTTCAAATGGATGCATCCTTTAGGTCTTCGTTTAATCATTTCATCCCAAGCAAAGTAGTAAAGTCACTAAGGCACAAGAAGTTACTGAGTGTGAAAGAATAAGAAAAAAGACAAACATTATTAAGGAGTGAGAACAATAAAAGAAGAGTAATCAACAAGACAGTAGATAACGGTTGACATTGCTTTAAATTTTTGAAGATCAAAGTTGGTTGGATCTAGAAAAAAGTTCTACAAGAGAGAAGTTCGAGAGAAGAAACTGTTAGTATTGAACATACATCTCGTCAATTCAACTGTAAATTCATGATACCATGTTACAAATCTTAAAGATTACAATCCTTCATCGTATCTCATAGACTGGTGCTACAGAATCACAAACAAAAAACTTTACCAAATAACAAAAAAATACATCCGTGAAAGACTTCCAGCAGCAGTAACAACTAAAATAGATAGTACATGCTACTAGAAGGGAAAATAATGATATAATTAATATGTTGATCTTCCACACTACCAAAAACAAAAGGTTTGCAAGAAAACTCCTGTCAATACAAGAAAGAGTGATAACAGTGAACTTGAAAAGCTTATTTTCATGAAAGAAAAACTGTTTTAAGAAAAAAAATTAATTAATTTCAACTGACATTGAGGTTAACTGTTTGATTAATGAATGCCCATTATTTCCTGTATGGAAACGGTCAATCTTACCATTAACATACAAATGAATTTTAATTTTTTCCACAAAAGATGCCAAACATTTTTAAGTTTTCCAATATGTGATGTTCAGATCTTTTCTTTTTCATATGGTTGCAGTTGTTATTTTTTTCTTCTTGCAATGTTGCCTTAGACAAGCAAAACATGTCCTGAATTTAAAAATTGATGAAAACAGCAAAAGTACGAAAAATTAAAATGAAGGTTCCTTTCATCTTTGACACAGATAACTGCCAATTGAGTTGTGCTGCTGTTGTAAGCAGACAAATGTTTTTCACTGGGTTAAAGTCCTTGGGTTTTGTTCGTTTTGTTATTTCTTTTCCCGGTAATTCAGAATTGGAGGAAATTGAATCATTTGGGTGAAAGGAATTTTCTAATGATAGAAATTTAAAATTTAAAATTGGTGATACAAAAATATTCAGCTTTAAAATTCAGATGATTAAATCATAATAGCAAAAGATGAAAAAAAAAAAAGAAAGAATGGCTAGGAAGGGGAGAAGTAAGGGCAGAGACAAGGAAAAGAGGAAGTAAAAAGAAAAAATAAAGAGGGAAGAAGAGGAGAGGAGAGATTAAAAAGAAATAAAATATGGAAAGTGGGGAAGAGGTAAAAAGAACAGGAAAGAAAGGAAGAAGAGAAGTGAAGAAGATGATAAAGAAAAATGGAGGGATAAGATAAACAAGAAAGAAGGAGGATTATGAGTAAATAAAAAAAGAGTAAGAGGAAGAAAGATTAAAAAGTGGGAGGAAACAAGAAAGAGAAAGGTGACAGGCGGTAAAACAGAGAGAAAAGTAAGAGTAAATGTATGAAAGATAAATGGAGGAAAAGGAAAAGGGTCAGAAATTAAAAAAGAAAGGAAAAGGGTAAGGGAGCAGAGAGAGGATGTAAAATAGAGATAAAAGAAGGAGAGAGAGGAAAGAGTGATGGAATAAAAAGGAGGAGAATAAAGAAGTAAAGCAGAAGTAAATAAAGAGGAAGGAAAAAGGAAAAAGAGAAGCCATAAAAATGAAAAAAATCTGGGAAGATGAGAGGTAGAGAAAGAAAAAGGAGAGGTAAAATTAAAGAAAAGAGAGAGAAGAATCAAAGAAAGAAGAAGAGAGAAAAGGTAAAAAAGAGTTGGAAAAAGAAAGGAGAGAGAAGAGTATTACAAAAAAAACACAGGAATGTTAAAGAAATGAATAAAGGAGAGAAAAGAAAAAAATGTATAGTAGGACAGAAAGAGGAGATATAAAGGTAGAAAGAAAAGCAAGAAGTAGAACTTGAAGAAAACAATAAGATGGAAAAAGAGTGAAGAAAAAAGGGGGAAGATGAGAAGTGATAAAAACAAAAGAGGAAGAAAGGAAGTAAAAATCAAAAGTTGTAGAAAGCAAAGAAAAAAAGGAGTGAGAGAAAACTAAAATAGAGCAAGTATGGGAAGCAAAAAAGAAAAGAGAAAAAAGCATGAAATAAAAATTAGTTTCAATTAGAAAATAATCTTTTTCCATGATATGCAAGCACTTAAAAATGGTTCTATTGTCTTGGATGGAACTGTTATGAATCAAAGAATTCTTGAAATTAAAACTCAGAAATTTTAGAAACTTTGAATTCAGTTTAAAATAGACTTTAATCTTTTGTTTTTTATTTTGGCCATGTCATGTTGGTCATAGATATGACAAGTGAATCAAATTTCTACCTTCTTCTTTAATGTGCTGTCTCCCTTCAGGACGTGTGCAATGATGGTTCTCCACAACCATCTATCCTTTGTAACTCTTGGTAACATTTGTCTCTTTGCCAGGCCTTCTATTCCGCATTCTGCCATTCATTCACACAAGTAGGTGACTTGATGCCTTCCCCTGTCCCTTTTTCATTTTCTATGTCCTGTGAGTGTCAAATTCTCCAAGCCCTCCTTCATCATTGTGTGTTCAAGATATTTCAGCTATATCTTTCTGATATTTTGTTTCCATTTTCCTGAAGACTTCTTCATTGCTTCAGTCAGTTATGTGCCATCCATGATACACACTTAGGGGATCATGTAACTTTTGATACATGACTGATGATTTTTTCCCATAGTAGGTTGCCATTTCTTTCTGCAGTAGACCAGTTGCCATATAAGGCTATAGAACCTGGTCTGTCCTGCTATTTACAGTTAAAGTTTGCAGAATAAAACCACCTGAAACACCGCAGAAAATAATGAAGAATGATCCAGCTTGCTGTTGCAAAAGGAATTGGTGCATTTTAGATTACTATATTTCCTAGTGTATAATACGACTTGAGTATAATATGACCCTGTGCTTTTGACTCTAAAAACAGGGAATAAATTACATCCTTGAGTATAATAAATTATCATAGTATAGCTATCACAATGTAATTTTTTTCCAAAAGTTGTACCACACAAAATGTCAATGTTATGCATATATTTTACTAAAATATTTAATTTTTCACAATATTAAAGAATAAAAATGAACTGGGTGTTTAGCCATTGCACGTTTACTCTCCTAATTTCCGTTTCAAAACTTATTTTCAAATTTTTGTTAAAAGGTGCTAACTAGACGTCTGCGATGATACATTTAAGGTGCTAATTAATCTATCATTCTTTTCTGTTTGATATGACCTTATTACATTTCTGTATGTTAATAAACTATAAAAAGAAAAAAAATGTCTTTTATTAACAATGAAGAAAGAAAGCTTTATAAAAAAAAAGGAAATCAAAATATAAGCAAACTTTATCTGGTAAGCAAAACTGAGTGTATTTGCTTTATTTGATTGATTCATTTTTTGTGTCTTATCAACCCTTTGCAGATTCCAGATAATATTTTCAGTTTTTCTCATTTACCAACCCTCTGTCCATCCATATAGTGTGGCATGTGACTATATGAATGTCTCCAGCCAAAAGCAGACCAGAACTAACTTCCTCAATCCCAAATATGACTGTTGATATAGAGCAGCAACTGGAAGTCCTGAATATCCAGCTTTGCTGTCACTTGACCCCCAAAACTTTATTTTATTTATTTTTTTCTTCATCTTTGGCCAAGTGGGTGATGCTAAGAAGACACGATCAACCAGCCAGAAAACAGAAACACTTTACATAAAATTAGATCTTATTATTCTATGTAGGTGTCCCAGTAACTGGACTACACAGGTTCTATGAGACAAAAATGGTTTGAGTCTGAGTTTTCAAAATAGCTTTTTTTATTCTTTCTGATCCACACTGTTTAATAATGACTGCAGAATGTCAATCTGGTTAAATTTATTGAAAAACAATGGAATATCTGGTGAACAAAATAATAAAAAATTTAGCAATATTTGACAAAGTTTTAAAATTTAAGATAATGTTCATATCCTAAAGGGATAAAAATATCACTTGTTCAGTATAATTAGATAAATGTGATTAATCTAGAAAAAGAAAATCTAAGATCTCAGAGAACATTCAAGTATACAATACATTGTCTTATTAGCTTATATTACCATATATTTCCGTATATAATACGACCAAAGACCACCCTTAAAAACTGGAGGTTGTCATATACCATAATTCTAAAAAAGAAACTTTAAATTCTGAATGATTCTTGTTTGTAGACCAACATTGTCCTCGGTGCAATAACCAATAACATACATGAAAAGATTCACATTATCAAATAAACTGTTAATAAAAGTAATAAAACCATTTCTACCTTATGTATTACTGGCATAACTTCATAATAAATTGCTTATTCAAAGAATAATTCCATAGCAATGAAATCAACTTGTATCCATGTAAGCTTGTAGTAGAAAAACACAATTTACACATAGAGATAAAAAAAATTAAAGCCAAATTTATACAATTATTAGAAAACATATATTTCTAACTACAAACCTATTTTTGTCTAGCTAAGTCACACACATGCCACACTCTACTCAAAACAAATTTTGAAACAAACACAAATATATCAGAGTGCTGTCATTATCATTGTGACTCTTGCTTGCCACAGATGTCTACACTGACATCTGTATGCTTTCCTTATATAGACTATAGGCTATAAGAGAAGCCAGGCATGGCAGACAGAGCAGAGAGAGACACTTAACACACCCACGCTAACCATAGAAGCTATCTGGAGCATGGCTGACTGTCCATCCTACTATTAGGCTGTGAAAACGACCTCCTGTGAATATAGAAAGAGACCAGACTACACTATCAATATGACAAGCCCAAAGCGATAGCCAACAAGCAGTCAGCCGGATTAAGCATACTCTTTTTTCACGCTCTTATTTCGCACCTTGTACATCATACATTCAAATGCTACACTATATGACTTACCAGAGACATTTTTATATCTTGTAAATGAAAATAAATCTTTGGTCATTTTACCAAACCAGTGTCTAATTTGTTTCTTTACTCCAACCAACTTCCACCTCAGATCAAGCTCAGCTGAAAAAAATTTGAGTTATGATTGCAACCTTTATCTTTCGCTAGACTTTCAATAATCATCATGGCAGTGTCAATTACGTCAGTAATAACATTTAGGATTACAAAAGTTAGGAACAGACTGAATAAAAAAAATTAGTGCCCAAGGCTGTTTCTAACTGTTTAGATATAGGAAAAGAAGAGGAAGAATCAGTATTTACAAGAGATCACATGATGAAATGTAAACAAAACAATGGTTTCCCTTGGGGATGTTCGTCAGGAAAAACATGATATAGAATCGGTTTTGTCATTTCATTTATTTTGAATTTCTAAGGATACTGTAAGTAACATTTCCAATAATATCTTTATATAATCAATAAGGTGTCGTCTTATACTACAGGTATAGGATAAGGTCATAAAAATTTGCTATATTTTTTAATTCATCTTGTCTAAAGGTCGTCTTATATGCAGAAATATACACAGTACCTACTGTTAAAGGAACCAGTATGTTTTATGTTGCTATGATTAGATACTGGATAAAAGAGACTCTCTTTATTGATTGCAAATCTTTGGATGACAAGAATGAGTCAATGAGTATAGTGATAAAAATAAAAATGACAAATAGATTGAATTCAAATAAATTTGAACATGAAAATAATTCATCAAAGGCCATAGAATAGATCAACTGAAACACAGTGGTAACAAAAGCAACAAAAATAATTCAACAGTCTGACCAACACAACTGACGCATTTGAAAATTATAAAAGGGCATAGAATTGCTGAACAACTGCTAGACTGATAATGACTGATCTGAAAATTATAGAAAGTAGTGATTTGTCTTCTTTATTTTCGAATACTGAATTCTCTTTGACTTTAATTTCCTTATGTTTGTTTCAGTTTCCTATATAGAAAACCTCTCAGAAGATGCTCAGTTTGCTAAAAAATTCTTTGAATTTGAACAGATTTTAAAATGAAATCTATACATACATATATGCATTCATATATGCATATCTCTATATATATGTACATATATATCTGTGTGTTTGTGTGTGTGTGTGTGTAATAACAAAGAAGCAAATGTATTTCCATTATATTAATAATTGTATCTGATGATACAAATCATGGCTAGTTGAATTTGACACTTCTTTTCAAGATCAACAGAAATTGTCATTTTGAATTAAGCTCAAATGGACCATGTTGAGTTTATCCCAAGCAAACAGATAAGGAATATATGTTATTTAATAAGATATTAGGTTAAAAAAAAATTCACATTGGAGAAAAATTGATTCTGCATTTTAATAATAAAAAGAAAAAATGTTTGATTAATTAGTTTTTTTTTTAATAACTGCAGTGTGATTCCTGATATAAAATGGATGTTTCTATTTGTAACTTTGAGAAGAATTCTTTATATTCCAAGATTTGTCTGGTCAATTCATTTCATTCTTTGTGTCGCTGATATCATTACAACATTTTTGCTTATCTATTCTACAGTCTTCTTCAGGTGCAGAAGCCATAAATATAGAAACTCCATCATTTATTTCTTCAACTTTCAAAATACTAAAGAAACTAAGCAATACAAGGAGAGGGGAGGTGTTGATTTCTATTGCTACATACCTCTGACTCTGCTCATCACATTCCCTGATCCAATCATGCAACATTATTCCATTTACTGCATAACACTATCACCAAAGATCAAATAGATGTGAGTATTTGATCAGACAGTTTTAAATGAGTCATTTTATCACACTATGATTAATGTATCTTAGTTACTAACTTGACCTTAAAAATGAATGCATCCAGAAAGTACATCAGACATGCAAGGCTCTATGAATAAAGAAAGGTCAATAATACTGCAAGTTAGTTTCACAGACCAATTCATTAGAGAAATGCATTCAGTCTTCATGACACTTTATGTCTTGTAGCCTTGTGACAGTTTAAGCTTTGCTTAGTAAATTTTATATATAAGAGAGAATATTTTTTGGTTGATTTTTAAATCAATGTTACTACATCCATGCTTTCTTTTTAGCTGTTAATTAGTTCTTATATTTTTGTCCACCAGAGAGAGATAGTTTGCTACTTAAA